CCCAGCTGTTTATTTTACTCAGGACAGGCTTGTGTCTACTTATTTTTTTTTTTTACATTGAGTTATAACTAACTGCCATTTATTTTTATGGGGAGGAAATGCGGTCCAGAACATGTGTGTGTATGTGTGTGTATGTGGAAGCGGGGGGGGGGGGGGCAAGTTTTGGTCCTCCTTTGGAGACAGGGTCCCTCACTGTCCTGGAGCTCACTTGGGCAGGCTAGACTGGCTGGGTGGTAGGTCCCTGGGCATCCTCCTGTGTCTGCTCTCTTGGTGCTAGACATAGACCTTGTCTGGCTCTTTATGTGGGTGTTAGCCTTAAACCCAGGTCCCTCACACAGCAAGCATTTTACCAACATCTCCCCAAGCCCCGATCTTGTATTTTATTCTGTCACTCACAGTGGTCTAGCCTTGGCCCTGGCCCTGCAACTCACGGACAATGTTTTCACAGCTGCTTTTGTTTTGTCTTTCCGTTACCCTGTTTCTTGCTATTGCAAGATGCCCCGGGCCTCAGTGTCTTTTCCCCTGGCCCCGCCCCAGAGTCAGCCAAAACCCCTTTGCTTGCGCCACTTTGTTTTGCCACAGGTGAGTCCAGGTGGGTCAGCAGACAGCACCAGTAAGTGCCAGGCACAATGCCAGGCGCTGGGCCCAGCCAGCAATCTGTCAGTCGGTGTTCAGTCAGCCTCTCCGGGGAAAAAGCGAGGCCTGCATGGGTAGCATGGAGGTTACTGGTAGAGGGTAGAAACAGTAACTACACAGAGGCTTATTTTGTGACTCAGGGACTAAAGAGTCTTGACAAGTGTTGCCAATGGCTTTAGGCTGGAGACTCACACCCGTGTCTGTAACCTAAATACGGGTTACGTTTATAAGTAGGACGAAGGTGAAAGAAGACATGGCAGGGGAGGGGACGTCATGTGTCCATCGACGACCCCAACTCCTAATAGACTTCTCTGCCATGTCAGGCACTGGCTCCCACATCCTCAAAGGACGTGTCTACTGTTCCAGATGCAGCGGCTGCAGCTACGACACCTGTCCTCTGCATCATTCGTGTTTTGTCCCTCACTGCCCTTGCAGGGGAGCGTGTGGGTGGGTGTGAGTGGGCATCGTACATGCATGCGGGTGCAGGGGCATTCACTCACGCATGTGCAGGCCAGAGGTCGACACTGGGTGTCTTCCTCCATTGCTCTCTACCTTAGGCGGGTCCTTCCCTGAACCTGGAGTGGACTGTGCCAAGCAGACCAACCTCCCAGCAAGCTGCGGGGATGTGCATGGCCGGAACAGCAAGGTTCAATGTGAGAGCCTGTCTCAAAGGATAACTAAGATGGAGAAGCAATGGGGAAGACACCCCAACGTCAGCCTCTGGCTTCAATGCACAGTCACACAGGCATGCGCGCGCACACACACACACACACACACACACTTGCACGTCTTTTCTCTGCCCCCCCAACACACACACACACACACACACACACACACACACACACGCACGCACGCACACACGCACTTTTTTAAAAGAACAAAGGCTGTCATCTGTCCCAAAGTGCAGTCAAGGTCTGGTGCTCAGCTAAGTCTGTGAGATTCATGGCGTTTGGCATCTCTCCTTATTGCTCTGGCTCTTTCCCTTCATTCTTGTCTCTGGCTCTCTGAGGCCACTGAGGCACACATCCCTACTGAGGTGCCATCCAAATCTCATCTAGATTAAAGATTGACTGAGAACAGACACGTCCTCACCTGCTTAGAACGTGTGCGTTCGCATTTATTCGTGTGTGTGTGTGTGTGTGTGTGTGTGTGTGTGTGTGTGTGTGTGTTCAGGGAGGGTCCTTTCTGGAGTCATACAACAGGGAACACACAGCGTCCCATCTAATTCTGCCACAGACACCTGCTACAATGCCTTAACCATGTGCTAAGAGCACCACACCAATCACAAAACGACTCAGCTCAGGGCTGGAGAGATGGCCTGGCAGTTAAGAGCCTGCACCCTCGGAGGAACCAAGTTAAATCTCCCACACCTGTCAGTACCACAACTGTCTATCACACCTGCTTCAGGAGATCCAACACCTCTGACTTCCACGGACTTCCACAGACATCTGCACTCACATACACATCATTTTTTTAAAAAATCTTTCTTTAAAACATTTTACATTTTAAAATAGTGTTACATTAGCTCATATTTGGGTGGGGGAAGGAGCTCGGCTTGTATGAGGTGCCCAGATTTCAGTCAGGTTCAAAGAGAATAAAAGGGGAAAGGGCAGGAAAGGGAGTTGTGAGTGGGAAGAGAGCTTGAGTTTATAAGGCACAGCCCACAGCAACTTGAATGCTATGCATGACACTATTCATATGTACGCGTGAGAAACTCGTGAGAAGGGGTAACTCTTGTGTGCTCTTTGAGACAGGATCTCCACGCTCACAGCCCTTATGCTCTTCCTGCCTCAGCCTTGCAAGTTCTGGGGTTACAAGTGTGCACCGCCACGCTCATCACTTTCCCCGGGTTTGGCTTGTTTACAGTTTTTAAGAGCCCCGCTTCCCCTCTCTTCCCTTGGGGCTGCTATGCTCTCAAGCCTGGAGAGTCAGCTAGGCAGAAGATCCTAGGGTAGAGTCTAGTCTGCTCGTGGATCACGTGTTCTTTGCACTGGTCCTGATAGTCAACTCAGGGCTATGACTGGCTAGTTACTTAGTCCCTCTCATAAAACAGGGACAGGGAGATTGGCCAGAACCACCCAGGATCCAGAGATGCAGAGTGGGTCCTGCGTGGTCTGGGAGGTGACCTTCTTCATCACCCAGCCCTCTTGTAGTTGGTTCGCTGTGAGGCATGCTGCCCACATGTTCAGCAAGCATCTCTTAATCCAGATAGAACAATCTAAAAAAACAAACTGAGGCTGAAGGGTCCAGCCAGGAAGAGAACTCAGCCATGTTCCCTTCCTGAAAACAGATTCAAAGTGGGTCAATAGGCCAGTGTTCCCAGGTGACTCAGTTCCCCTGGATGTGCTTCTCCTCACTGGCTCTCAAAGTCTTCCAGGATACCCAGGGTCCTAACTTTATTCAGCCCAGATGGAGACACTGCAGAAGAGATCTCAGCAAGCTCCAGTTTAGAGCTGGCTGGCTGCTGCTCACGGGTCCAGTGTTCAAACAGAGAAACGACAGCCTTGGAAATGCTGGGGCCACAGAGCTTCCAGTGCAGGGGCTGGGGGGAGGTCACTTACAAACTGTACTGGGTATTCCCAGAGAGAGGAAGCAGAGGCACGGGTGTACAAAGAGAAAGATGGGGGTGGGGAGAATAGACATAGAGAAAGACAGAGAGCACAGAGAGGGAAGGAGTGAAAGATAGAGGGGGAGGGGAGCAGGAGAGAAGAGGGAGGCTATGGGCTCTAGAGCCGTGTCCCCTGAGGCTGGGTGACTCATCTAAGGGCTGCATGGGAATAAGTGAGCCCAGCTCAGCAGGAGACAGCCCCGATGCCGTCATCACTGAGGACGGAGCACAGGGGAGAAGCCTCATTACAAGGTCTGTGTCAGCAACACACTGCGTTGCCTCTCTGGAGGGGACAGATCCTTATGTCCCTCCTGGGGGAAGGCTCCCGCTGGCATCTCCGCCGAAACAACCACAGACACCTTCATGGGGTCTCAGACTCAAGGGGCCTATGTGCACCTGCTGGAACCAGGTGTTTGGGATGTTGAGGATGTTGTGTTTGATGAGGCATCGTCCCCACCCCTGGCCCTGAGTTCTCAGCCTGGAGACCCGTAGAGGAACCATATGTGGATGGGAGAATTGACTGGGGGTGGCCCTGGAGCTGGCCTGACTCTCAGTGGCCTGCTCAGCCTTCCCTTCATGCCCCTGTCTGTGCCCCCGGCATGACATGGCAAGCACCCACTGTAGGAGCTATAGATACAGGGTGAGCGGGAAGGGAAGGCCTGGTCCCTGAGGGTGGTGCCCCGACAGTTCAGCAGCTCAGTGCGATGTCAGTGGCTTGGGAGAAGTCATGTGAGAAAAGTCTTCTATGAGGATTCAAGAGGGGACTGAGGTGGAGTTTATTAGAATAGTTTACTAACACCATGGACAGACAGACAACAGGATGGCAGGAACTCTAAAGAGAGTTCAGACCCAAGAACCAGAGATTGACAGCATGGTGGAAGCTCCAAAGAGAAGAATCATGCATGGCCCACGTGGCAAAAGTGAAGTCTCTCCTTACACATTTCTGAGGATGGGAAGTCTTCACAGCATTCACCTGCAGCCAGGCTCTCCGGTTCCCAAGCAGGAGGCAGAGAGGGGGTGGGGTGCATGGCCGCCAGAACAGCACCCCTTTGATGTAAAGGCACTTCCCACGTGAGAGTCCTTGGCCCCTAGGAGTCTGGTGCCTGTCAGTGTCTGTGAGAAGAGGAGCCCAGCAGCTGTTGAGACCTGAATGGCTGCTGGAGTCTCACGTCCTATTTTTACAGCCTGATCTTGCCCGACCTCAGCATCCTTAACGTTGAGTGTGTTAAATGAGTGAATACGTGGGGATCTCTTGGCTGAGTATGACAATGACCCGGGGTCCCATGGTGGAGTCACTGCCCCAGTCTTGAAGAGCATGTAAGAAGGCTCCTCCTTTTAATGGCATGATTGCCCCACCTGAGAGGGAAAGCAAGGCAGAAACCTGGGTTTGGAGAGATGGAGACCCTAGGCGGCGGATGAGCACAAGCCTTCTTGGGAGGAGGCTTCACTGAGCAGCTTGTTTAACTGGGAGGAACAAAGGCTGTTTAGACGTTCGGGGAGTGGGGTGAGGCTTTGGGGGTGAGTGTACATCATTAGGGGCAAGGTGCTGGGAATGCCACTTTTGCATGAAGATGAATTCCAGGTACTTGCTGGGCATGACCATATAAGGAGAGGGGACGCTTAGCCTGTAACCTGGCTGCCAGGCTGTGTGACCACCTAAAGAGTGGCAGAGGTGGGGGCCATAAGCGACTCTCAAGCTGGATGGTGGGACAAGCCGTGCTGTGCCTGAACACGACCTCTCCTGTCTGCCCCGCAGGTCTCCTACCCATGGGTGAGGAGCCCAGCACCTTGGCAGAGGCTGCAGCCACCTGGGGCCTTACAGCAGCCACGCCAGTCACCTTTGCCCCCCCACATGCCTTTCCACCAGGGCATCCAACCACCATCAGCACAGAGAAGTTGGTCACAGGGTTGTCCCGGGCCCAACATGGCCCCGCCTAGCCCTCACCAGCTGCCCATGACTCCCAACGGGAAGATGTTTTCCTTTGTGATGGATCCCAAGTCCCCCGTCATCAAGCAAGGTATGTGCCAGGCTCTTGGGGTGGTTCCAGGCAAGGATTTAAAGCCACAAGGATAGGTTGGCCTTGTTTTTCACTTTCCTCTGACTCTCAGAAGGACTATAAGTAGTTGTAAAAAGCGTGATGGTGGGCAGGGGAGAGGGCTGGCGAGGTGAAAGGGCCTGCCACCAAGCCTGACCACCTGAGTTTGATGCCCAGAACCATAAGGTAGAGGGAGAGAGCTAACTTCTGCAAACTGTCCTCTGACCTCCTCACACAGGCTATGTGGGGGCACACACATGCACACAGGGTTAAAAATAAATGCAATTTTTTTTTTTTAAATAAGGAGGGAGAACTGGAAATGTAGCTCAGGAGAGTGCCTAGTGTGCGTGAAGGTGTGGGTCTGAGGCCTTGCATTGCACAAAACCAGATGTGGTTGGGCCAGGCGTGATGGTGCACGCCTTTCATCCCAGCACTTGGGAGGCAGAGGCGAGCGGATCTCCGTGAGTTCGAGGCCAGCCTGGTCTACATAGTGGGTTCCAGGATATCCAGAACTACACAATGAAACCCTGTCTCAGAGAGAGAGAGAGAATCAAAGGTAAACAGAGCATAAGGCAACATGAAGCTGTGCAATTCTAACACCTGGCTTCCTCCTTGGAGCTGCTGGGTTTGTCTCAAACCTTCTGCAGCTGAGCCCCAGTCAGCACTGTAGTTCCCTGTGCAGGGTGTGGACACACTCGAGTGCATGTTCGCAGATGTTCAGTGTCTAGCAGGGTCGACATGATTCTCTTTGGTGTGTGAACAAATGGGGGGTAACTGAAACCCTGTTTGCCCACCACAGCCTCTGGGAAGTTGTTAAAAAAAAAAAAAAAGATTTGTCACCACAGCGCAGGTTTGCTAGAGAAAGTTCGTTCCCCAGGGGACGGATGCATCCAATCAAGTCTAATTTAACATTTTGCATAGTGTTATTTCCACGGCTGCCCACTAAGAGCATGGTAGTGTGGGAAACACACAACCTTTGGGGGATGGTGTCCCACTCTTACCCCAACCTCTCCTCAAAAGTCTCAGGGTATTTGGAGATAGGACACCGTGTCCATTCCTGTCCTCTTGGCCATCATAGCCCTTGCAACAGAGCAGGTGTCAATTCAGGCCTTGGGCATAGTCCCCAGGTATCCTCCATGGTGTCTTGATCCAGGCTTCATTCTTAGTCTTCCCTGCCTCAACTCTACAGCCCCAGAGCCTCTGATCTCTTGCCGCTCTCCACTTCCTCCCCTGGCCTTTCATGGCCTCTCACCCAGCCACCTCCTTCCATCACTAAGTTACAACTGTGAAGTGCTGTGTCTGGGGAGTAAGCAAATGGACCTCTGGGCTTGGCTCCCCATCATCAGCTGAGCCACCCAGATTCTGGAAGCAGCCTGTCACCCCCCCCCCACATATTTGGACTCAGACACTTTTAAACACAGAGTGGGTGCCACTTGGAAGGCTGAGGCAGGAGGATCACAGCTTCAGTGCCTGCCTGAGCTACAGTGAGTTCAAGGCCAGTCTGGGTACCTTAACAGGATCCTGCCTCCAACTCAAAAGTAGAAAGAGGCCTGAGCTATAGTTTGGTGGGAGAATGCTTGCTTCCTGTGTGAGGCCCTGGGCTCCACCCTGAGTGCTGACAGCAGAAAGGATTTTGCAGAGCGTCCATTCATAACATTCTGGTAAACTCTGAATTTAACTTTATATATGTGGGTATTTTGCCTTCTTGTATGTCTGGTCACCACATACATGCAATACCCATGGAGGCCAGAAGAAGGTATCAGATCCCCTGAAACTGGAGTAACAGAGCATTGTGAGCTGCCATGTGGATGCTGGGAATTGAACTCTGATCTTCTGGAAAGCAGCTGGTGCTCTTATCTAATGAGCCATCTCTCTAGTCCCTTATTATTTATTTTAAATCTATTTGTCTCATCCTCCATTAATTGAGCCACCTTGTTATTTTATGCATTTCAAAACACATTGCCCACGTCTGCGGTATTCCCCCCCCCATGTACACCATAAACTAAAGTTTAGTATATTTGCCCCTTTAATGTAGAGGTCACACATTCAACGGGATCAATTATTGGTTGTTGTGTAACAAACTATCCCAGACCCAACATCCTGGCACACACACAGTGAATAAAGACCTTGTGTGTTGTGCTGTCTGTAGGCCAGGGATTTGGGGTCTCTCCGAGCCATGGCTGCGGCTCAGGATAGCTCCTGAGGTAGAAGTTATAGAGATGGCTGGGGCTGAGGTCCCCTGAAGGCTTCCTCAGGGCTGGTGAGTCCGCCTCCGACATGGTGCTGTCACGTACGTGTCAGTAAGACTCCGTCCACACGAACTGGAGCGACTCTGTTGCTGTTTTCAAATGACCAGAAGAAAGGCAGGGAAGAACGGGGCTGCTTGGCTGAGGTTTCCGGAAGAACGGAGTCCATCTTGGCCCAGCAGTCAGGTGCTCATCTGGTACTGATGTGCAGAGGCAGTTGAGGTACCAGGGCCTCGAGGCTGCCGGTCAAGTGCTCTACCCACAGCCACAGCCACAGCCACAGCCCAATTTTAGTTTCCTAACGTTCTGAGACAAGGTCTCACAAAGTTACCTAGGCTGGCTTTGAACCCAAAACTCACAAAGTAACCCAGGCTGATCTTGAATTTATGATCTCTATCTCTCTCTCTTCCTTCCTCTTCTTCCCTCTCCCCTCTCTCTCTTCCCTCTCTCTCCTCTCTACCTTTTCCCTTCTTTCTCTCCTCTCTCCCTTCTTTCCTCTCCCCTCTCTCTTCTTTCTCTCTCTGGCATTTTTTTTATTGAAAAAAGACCTCTTTTTCACACACAATATTCTGATCAAGATTTTTCTTCCTCCAATTTCTCCCAGATTCTTCCCACTTCTTCACCCACCCAAATCCACACCCATTCTCTCTCTCTCCTCATCGGAATACGAACAGGCATCTAAAATAGGTAATACTAATATAAAATAAAAACAAACTAGAAAAGGAAAAAACAAACATGGAAAAAAAGCCAAAGAAAAATCACAAAAAATACATACAGAATGTGAGATATATACATTCACACACACACACACACACACACACACACACACACACACAACCTGTGAAAACAAAATTGGAAACCATAATATATAACCAAAAGATCTATAAGGTTAAAAAGAAAAAGAAAAAAAAAAAAAAAAGCCCAGACATTGTGAGACAAAAAAAAAAAAAAAAAAAAAAAAAATCCTCCTGACCCCACCCCACCCACATCCCCACCTCCACCCTTCCCACCTCCCCCCACCCACTTGAGTGGTTTTGTGTAGGTCATCTACTACTGGGCATGATCCTGCCCTTAGGTGAGGTTTTTATGCCCCCTGAGCCCCGACAGGAGAAAATTCATTTTTCCTCTGCAGTGTCTCAGCCTCTGGGTAGCTGGGATTACAGGCTCAGGTAATCCCCTGGGTACTGATTACAGAGTCGCAGAAGCCAATAACAATTTTTTTTTTTTTTTAACTCTGTGGCCGCATCATCTGTCTTGAAACTATTTGTCCTGGTAGAGGAAAACGCAGTGGCTGTAGTTGGGCCAGAAGTGAATGCTTGCAGCTGTGTTCCAATAAAACTTCCTTTTTAAAAGTCTGTGGGTTTGTTCTTGTGACAAGAGTCTGACTATGTAGCCCTGGCTGCCCTGGAATTCAGGCTGTAGACCAGGCTGAGCTCTGCCCGCCCCCGCCTCCTGACTGCTGGGGTGAAAGGTGTGCGCCACCACACACAACTCAAAGCTTTTTAAAGATTTGTCAGTGTGATCTGAGGTGCGTGGATGCTTTGCCGCACGTGACTGCATGGCTGCAGAGCCAGAAGAAGGTGTCAGATATTTTGGAACCAGAGTTAGACATGGTTGTGAGCTCTGGGTGCTTGGATTGAACCTAGGGCCTCTGGAAGACCACCTTTGAGTACTGTGCCATCTCTCCAAGCCTCAAAAATTTATTAAAAAAAAAAAAGCATAACCACGCATAACTCCAGCTCCAGAGGATACAATATCCCTAGCCTCCTCAGACACCTGCACAGGCAGGCACACACACACACACAGAGTTAAAAATAATAAAACCATTTATATCTGTCAAAGCTTGGTATGGGCATGGTGACTCATGTCTGTGCTCCCAGCCCTCAGGAGGCTGAGGCAGGAGGATTGCCGTGTATTCAAGGCCAGCCTGGGCTATATGGTGCATTTCAGGACCCAGTTTGGCCAGGAGCCAGCACCACTCTGCATCTTAGTCCCTTAATCTCATAATGTTAGTTACTTAACCTCTGCAATGGAGACTGTTGGTGTCCCTGAATTAGGTATGTGGGAACAAAAGTGGAGAGAGGCTGCGCGTGCCACTCACTGGCCAGGTCTGCATGCGGCAGATGTGGCTGTGACTGTCAGGCCACACAGCGATGGTGGAGAGAGCCGAGGTGGTCCCCCCCACCCCGGCCAGGCCTTCCGCAGGACGTCACTGCCTCTCAGCGCACACACTGCTCTGAACTTTTAAAGTCAGAGAAATGGCTGGGGAGATGACTTGGTGTGTAAAGTGCCTGCTGAGGCGTGAAGACCTGAGTTCAGGTCCCCAGAACACATGAAAAGCAGGATGATGCACATCTGTAATCCCAGCAATGGAGAGGTGGAGACAGGAGGATGCTGGAACTTGCTGGCAGATAGTATACCCAAAACAGTGAGCTCCGTGTTCAGTGAAACCCTGTTTTCAAAAAATCTGATGTAAAATTACAGAGGACTCCATGCAGTGTCAGCCTCTGGCCTCCACGTGAACCTGCACACACGTGCACACATCCTTCCACAAACACGTACACAGGAACACACAGGCAGTACACACTTTTTTTTATTACTTAAAAAAATAGTAATAAAGGCTGGACAGTGGTGACACACGCTTTTAATCCCAGCACTTGGGAGGTAGGTGGTTCAAGGTGAGCTTGAGCTAGCCTGATCTACATAAAGAATTCCAGGCCAACCAGAGTCACAAGGTGAGACTCTGCTTTGATGATGATGACGATGATTGTGAGGACAGAGGAAATGTAAGATGTGAATGTGAAAGCGTGGTGTACCGGCTCATACACATAATCCCAGCTCTCAGGAGGCTGAGGCAGGAGGATGTCAGAGAAACTGAAGTTGCCCCGCGCTACACGGTGAGTTTGGGGGCAGCTTGGGCTGTGTAACAAGGCCCTGTCTCCAAAGCAGAATGTCATGTGACCCTTGAGGGGAAACCATGAATAGTTCAGGGTGTGGGACCCCTCCACGCCTGGGGGCCCACGGTGCCTTGTTCTCTGTGTATGTCACACAGTGTGGGCCAGCACCATGGAGCAATGCATGGCCGAGGGACTCTCGAGGACGGTGCCTCCCACCGAGATCTTCATGGACCAGGATCTAGGCCCGCAAGACAAGGTGAGGGGGGGTCTTGGGGGTGGGGAGGTGACACCGTGTGCTATCACTCAGAGGCCACAGGGAAATTACCACCTTTTCTTTGTGTCCTGTGTTCACTTATTTGGTAGACAGTTGTGTCCTAAGTAATAACAGTCTCACGGATGGTTTACTGAGCAGCTACTGTGGGCCAGGCTGAGCCCCTAGCTTGACACTCATCAGCTCACTTCATCTTTGTAGGCTTCAAAACAGATTTTGTCACCTCCAATTTACTGATGATGAAAGCACGGCTCAGAGAGGTTAAGTAACGTGCCCACGCTCTGCACAGGGCAAGAAGTAGAACTGCGTTCACACCCAGGTCTCACACACACCTGGTCAACGCCAATCGATTGCACCACAGTGGGGAAAACGTGCCTGCTGGTGGGAGGAAGTGAGGACTAAGGCTGAGCCGAGGCCGTTAGATTCTGTTAACGAAGTGAAGCAGAGAGGTCTGGGGCTGAAGCCTAAAGAGGTCAGCACAGGAGCACTGGCCAGCCTGGGTCACAGGGACAGGAGTGGAAAGGACAGGGAGTGAGATACTTGATTGACATTTAACTCCAACCAAGGCCACATAAAAGGCACAGGTGACATTCCTTTAAGGGACCAGGGACCAGGGACCACACCGGAAAGACAGAAGCCATTATGGCTGAACACCATTCCCTAAGGTTTGCTTATATCCGGGGTCCAGGGCCCAGCCTAGCACATAGTAAGTGCCCAATAAATCTTCCTGGCGGTAATAATAATTCTATGCTAAGCACAGAGGCCCTGAGTGGCTGGCTTTGGATGAGGCCTGTGTTCCCTCAGGAGCACAGTCTATTGGAAGCTGCAGCATAGGCGTTCACAGGAACGCAGAGAATGCCACTCGGGAGGCAGTTGGTGGCACCAGCAGGCTTCCTCGCGCCTGTGACACCATCCATCCCCCAGGCATGCAGCTAGAATTCTGTTTTTCTGGCCTTCCTGTCACTCTGAGCAATGCAAGGCACCTTGTCTGGGGAATCAGAAAATTCTTTGCTTACTGTGTTTCCCCAGTGAGCATCTCTGGGACCGTGGTGGTCCCAGAGATGCATCAGCCCCACCTACCTGAAACTCGGCCTGCGGTTCCCCCACCCTAGAGTTTACCAAAGCCGCCAGGCATTCTGCATTCTGTCTCCCTACTCGGCTCCCTGAATACATTTCTATGGGGGGTCTGCCAGAGGGAAGCAGAGAATTCCAGAAGAGAGGAAAGAGAGAAAGTTGACCCTTCCAGAATACAATATATATATATATATATAAAATCAATACCCTTGTTGTAGTCCGGTGAGTTGGGATTTGATGCCATTCTAATCACCTGTGTGTGGTCTCCAACATCCTGGACATGGGCCACATAAGGAAGTGCCCGGAATGATTACAAAGAAACGTCCTGCCCGATGACATTCCCAGGGGCCCGTGGTTTACCCCGTGAAAGTACTTTTTCTGGGTAAAAGAGAGTGTCCGTACCTGCTAGGCTCCATTGTGGGTGCGTCTTCACAGATGCGCGGTTCTAACCCAACTCCAGTCTCTCCAGGGCCTTCCTCTAGAAAGGCCCGGCCTGTCCCCCAAACCCACCTCTGCTAAGCCTCCCTCCTATTCCCACGCAGGACGAGATCATTCTTCTGTTGGGAAGAGAGGTCAATCGGCTCTCGGACTTTGAAATCGAGTCCAAATACAAAGACGCGGTGATCATGAACCTGCAGGGCGAGGTGGCCGACCTGAGTCAAAGGCTGTCGGAGGCGGCCAGCCTTGCTGCCGCCTCCAGGCAGGGCGAAAGAGGTAGCCTGAAGTTCCAGGGACTGGAGGAGGACGAAGATCAAAGGCAGAAGGAGATTGACAGTATGAAAAACCAGGTAGGATTTGGGCGCAAGTCCGTCAGAGTGCAGAGACCCCGCCCCCATTAGCGCAAAGCCTGGGCACAGAGGGGAGGGGCCGGGAGAGAGTATCTGGGGTATTGTGGCGTGTGAGGGGCAGGAGGCCAGCAGGGAGGGGCCTGTGCTGGGCCCCCGGAGAACGTTCTTTAGATCTGACGTCTCCCACAAAGAGACCGTGGTGGTCCCAGAGATGCCGGAGTTGACGCAGCTCACTGGAGGGGGCAGGACCCCGCAGACTTGGATCCTGGGCCTCACTGCCTCCACACCCTTATCCCAGCTTCTCATTTCTACCCCCAAAGTAGTGGTTTTCTTGCCTTAGTGACTGCCTGTCACACCATTCTGCCCCAGCCAGAAAGAGCTGCAGGCAGTTAGCCCAGGAGTGAGGCGCCCCAAGGCCCTCCTCAAACCCTGAACGGGCAGCATCAAATGGAGACTACCCACCGGGAAGGTCTCCTCCGTTTACCAGGCAGCCCCCGCTCTCTGGAAGCTTGATCCAGATTATAAACCGCTGTTTATAAAAACAGCGGTTGGGCTGAGGAGATGACTCGGCTGTTAAATGTGCTCACTTTGCAAGGATAGGAGCCCGAGTTCGATCCCCAGACCCGTGTCAAAAAAAGCAAGGCACGCAGCGTGGGCGGGGACCTCTCACCAGGCCCCAGCCCTAGAGGAAGGGCTGCTGTGGGAGGGAGGAATGAGCCTTTTCCAGGGCATCTGGTCCCAAGTGCTCAGCCCTAAACACCTGTGCCTGTGAGCAAATGGACTCAGTAGTGTGTGTGTGTGTGTGTGTGTGTGTGTGTGTGTGTGTGTGTGTGTG